GAGCGGGAAGCATCAACGCTTCATCTGAGAGGGAGAGAGAGAGAGAGAGAGAGAGGGAGAGAAAAGAAGGAGAAGAAGCTTAAAACAACTTCAAAATAAAGTAGAAACGCGCAAGAAAACTTGAAGGACATATAAATGTGGGTTTAACTTCTCAGCTTGGACGTACAATGACACGGTCACCTGGCTCTCGCATGTTGGATTCGTTGCGCATGCATGATCTGCCTGCTGTGGGAATTTAAGACACCCCGAATAACCCAGTCGCCTTGGACATCCAGGAACCATTCAGGGAGCAAATACCCGCTATTTTCACTGGAACGCAAAAGCACTGTGAGTATTTATTCTACAGCCTCCTCAACTTCACTGTTTGACTTTGCGCACGCCTGCCTGCACAATGTGGGCATCTGTACATGATCAAAGTATACCTGCCACGTAGACGCACTGAGGCAGCGTCCAGATCAAGGCTCTGATGGTACTAACAGATGCCTGGAGGCTGGAGCCCACCCCCCAGGGGCGCACCGTTATTCCAGCTGGATACGCGCGCGGTTASTGTGCGCCTTTGGACGGAGACGCGGCTGGAATGAGAGACTTGTTGCGCCAGAGCTGGTCTCTTTCTCAAACCGAAGGGAGTGAAACAACACTTGTGTGAGGGAGTAAGTGAGGAGAGGTGGAGAGGGGGAAAGCAAGCGAGCAGGATGTCTGGGAATTAAAATAAATAAATAAATAAATAAATAAATAAATAAATAACAGTGCTTTAATGCCAAGTTAAAATCAAATATACAAGTCGGAACAGTTAGACCAAGACAGTAGAGTCATACCTATTTTCTCCAAAATGTTTGGTTACCATCAGAAAGCGAGAAAAGGAGCATTGCATATAATAATCTCATCTCCACAACAAGGGCTGAATATGTGGGGTATTTTTTTGTACTGTGTGGTATTGTTTTGTCAGTATATTGTTTTGTCAGTCCGGGAGCAGTTCTCGCTGTTGTGTTTCCTAATAAGCATGCATGGAATGCACACATGTTTACAGACCAACTTGTAGCTAATTCGCAGCATGAATAGAGCTGTGTGAGCATCTGTAAAGCTCCAGAGATCCACACAGATGCATGGAGAATCCGTGGCATGCTCTCCAGGCTGAAAGGTACCTACTGGGTGTGCATTATCAGAACTCTGATGTCTTGATTTAAACCTAAATCATCTCAGTTTTTTCTGAACCTATTTTAGGTCTTCCTAAGACTTTTTCCATTGAAAAGCTTAGAGGTAGTGCAAAGGTAAAGTTTGGACTTCCATCCATCCGTGCAGAGACACAAAAGTTGGATTTGTCAGCAATGCATAAGCTTTGTCATGCATTCCAATAAATACCACACATATGTTTTGGATGTGGAAAGTGAAAAACTTTTTTTTTATTTTGCTGCCACTGTTTTTTTTCTAGGTAATATTAAAAAAAGGTTGATTGTGTAAATGTGTCAACAAAGTAAGTTTCCTTATTTTGTGAACTGCAGAACGATCTGGGTCCTGTGTTCACAGCAAACAAACATGCAGACAACAAATGGTGGAACAATCTGTTTTGCTGATGTATGAAATGGCACCAAAGCTAAACTTCCTCATCAAAGCAGAATTTATTAATAATGAACAGAAATCTTTTGAAGTCACCTAATGAGTCTTCATCCTGTTAATGTGACCTAATGAATCTTGTTTAGGACATCTAATAAGGTTTGCGTGTGTGTATTTCTGCGCATGTTTATTTGTGTATTCACAAGATGGAGAGAGAACAAGAAAACACTGTTTTCGGCCACCCACTGTCAAAACTCCAGGGGGTCTTTGATGCTGGTTGAGGACCATTTGCACTCCTGCAGATAAATAGATTAGGCGAGACAAGTTTCACTTTTGTGATTTATTTTCCAAATTATTTCCGTTTATTTATAATATTCTTTATTTTCAAGCTGAACTGTGTGAACTATCAAGCATCTACCAGTTTGTTAGCTGTCTAAAATAGTCTCAGGAATATTTGCTTAAAGAGCCAATATTATTTGTTTCTCAGGCATATATTTAAATACTATACCATAATAAAGTATCTATGTCACCTTTAGCTGTTATTAAAATGCTGTTTTATGTTTAAATAGAAAATAAACTTATCTTCTCATCACTTCCTCTTCTAAATGCCTTCAAATTGGCCTCTGTCTCTTTAAAGAGTAACTTACCCCAAAATTAACTTTTATTTTAACTGATAAACTGTCTAGAATGTGTCTAAAA